CTAACTGAGCCAATACATGATGCTCTGAGATCAGATGGAATACTGGGCTTAATCAAATACGCTGAGTATGGCGCAAAGCTACGGCCAAGCGCCAGCAGCAGGTTTACTCTATGCAAAAGCCACTGCACCTTTGGCAACATGGAGGGAGAACTATTCATTTTTTTCAAATGTCACTGTCATCATCTTCTCTATAATAAGAAGAGGTAGATTATATATGAAGAGGACTTGGAGCTTTGACATGAAGAGACGAGCTGTATCCCAGGGGACACATAACATCATAACTTCTTCAATGGTAACTTTGGCCACCATGATGCCACTGTTAAAGAGAGCTGAGCTGCAGGCAGGACTAGTTTCTGCAAAATTAAGATGCTCACTTTGGACACGAGCCACTGCTTTTAGACACACTTCCCAGTGTCTGGCTGCCTTTCTCTTTGCATACTTAGCTTTCACAGGAGACAAGCTCTTTCTGTCCTTCACACTATTTTCACCATGTCTACATGTATTGCCAAACTCAAAGTTTTCCTTTGGTTTCTGACAGCCCCATGGGTTGCATCAGCTATAGCCTGCAGCCTTGCACTGGCCAAGCAGTTCCCTCCTATCATAGAATCATAGAATGGTTTGGGTTGGAAGGAACCTTAAAAATCATCTAGTTCCTGCCTTCCACTCACTAGACCAGGTTGCTCAAACCCCCATCATGTCCTTGAACATTTCCAGGGATGAGGCATCCATAGCTTCTCTGGGCAATGTGTGGCAGTGCCTCACCACAGTAGCTTCTTCCCTGTATCTAACTTAAATCTACCCTCTTTCTTTCAATTTGAAGCCATTCCCCCTTGTCCTGTCACTACAAGCCCTTGTAAAAAGCCCCTCTTCAGCTTTCTTGCAGGCCCCCTTTAGGCACTGGAAGCTGCTCTAAGGTCTCTCCAGAGCCTTCTATTCTCCAGGCTGAACAAGCCCAGCTCTCTCAGCCTGTCTTCACAGAGAGGTGCTCCAGCCTTCTGATCATTTTCATGGTCCTCATCTGGACTTGCTATCTTCAAGGACTTTTCCTTCATGTACCTCACCTCTAGCTGTTCTGAGAATCCTGGAACTGTCTGCTCTGAAGGTGGGACTGCAGCTCTCCTTCTGAAGCAGGGAAAGGTACTGTTTGGCATGTTTCACAGGGAAGCAGAGCTCTGGCTTTGGCACAGGACAGTAAGTAGCATGACTCTGCCAAACTTAAATGGAAGTAAGACAATCCTAATGTCGCCTGCAACTGCAGAAGATACAGGTAGCTGAGCCCAAGGCTAAATATTAGTCTTGCACCTAGCAAGGTGGAAAGAAAACAAGAAGAGAGCCTAAGACTGCCCCAGGAAGCCCTATCTGGAAAATTAGTGGGAAAAGCTAGCAGCAGAAACAGAGGGCAGCTACAGAAACACCTATCTCAGCAGCATGCTAGAGAAGGGGCAGCCCAGATGGGCTGTGCTGGAGCACTGCATCACCTTCAGCACTGTGCAGCCAAGGAGGGGCAGAAGCAGCCCAAAACTACAGGATACAGGGACATGCCAGGGACAACGTGCAATAAGCATGGGACTTTCCCACCTAGACGTGGCCTGGCAGAGGGACTGTGGAAATGTGGCAGAAGAATAACTGCAAAGCTCTGCTGCTGATGACAGGTGGCCTGGGGCAAAGCAGGAGGGCTGCATGGTCTGTGTTAGCACTAGGATGATGCTCAAGGTAAGAATGCCATTTACACACTTACTCTGGACGTAACTGGCAAGGTGATTACATGTTAGGAAATGCTGAGCTAAACGCTGCATGCTGCAACACAGCAGTGCAGAACGAGAGGAGAGCTCAGGCTGTACATACAAATACGCACAAATATCTCCCTATATGTCAAGATGCATATGCTCCAACATCTCTCAGCATTAAGCAGCAGCACATTTCAGCTGACACAATGTATGTAGGCTGCAACTTTCCCCCCCCGAAGCACATGGCTAGAAAATACAGCTTCGTGCGCAGATAACCTCTTGTGCTGTTAAAAATAGTCACTATTCATAAATATGTGGGGGAAAGAAAGGAAGAGAGGGCCTCACAAAAATACTATGCGAATGCTAAATTTCTATAGATTTACATAATCAGCCACAAAATGTGAGTGACTGCTCCATTAGCGATAACACTATTTTAATTACTATTTCTCTCTTCACTGAGTTGTGAAAATGGGTGCTTTTATATGCCAGTGAAAACATATGCAACATCTTGCTGGTTTACTTATCTGCTCAGATGAAAATTTGTATTTAAAATAAATACGTAAAGTGAGGCATGGTCAAAACAATCTAGCCAGAGAAACTGAACCCAAACGTGGTGCTTTTTGAGCACATGAGAAGTAAACAGAAGTAAAACCAACCTCTTTCATGTCAACATGGAAACAATTTTATTTGGGGGGGAATGTTAAAACAACCATATACATATAGTTTGAACAAATACAACGTAACACAGTTTGTTCCCCAGATTTTCTAATTACAGTATTTACAGCTTTAATAAGGCACTGGTTCTCAAAAAAGAACACAAATTAGTTTTTTAGTCTTTACATTGTCAACTTTTTCTTTAACAGAAATAACTTTGTGCTAGAGAAAGGATAGCAGTTGTTAGATGGCAGCTCTCTTCCCTTTTTTGGGGTGAGTCTGTTTTTCCTCTTCTCTCACCTCTGCCATCTTATTTGTATCAATAAGTCACTAAACTAAACTTCCTTCAGTGATTTACATTTCAAAGCTGGATTTCCAGACTTGTGGGCACTGAATCATCTTCACCACTGACTTCCAAGCCTTCATCAATGTGAACTGTGAAACTACCAAAATCTGGAAATGACATTAAAAGGCCACACCTGGCAAAATAAATGCACTAACCTGTAGTCACTGTACTTGCTAAAACCACAATATAGTCAGTAAGTGTTGCAGAAAGTCAACCATGCAGCTAGTAACTTCAATGTCACAGTGCTAGAATGACTTCTATGCTTGCCTTAGGCTGTTTTCTGGCCGCAGAAATATCCCTTTAGAATAGCACTGATTACAAGTGGGTAGACTTGAGGGTAAAATCTGACCTTTTAGTCCTGGGAGAAAATGGGTAGGCACTAGTTAAACAACCACAGACCTTTTGCTTTCTCAGAGTGTGTCTCCTCACATATATATCACTCTCTTTATTTTCCTATACAGCACCATTGCAGAGATTTGTCATTTATGCATTTTCATAAATAAATACTATGTTTTATTTAGTGCTTTATCATCTGTAATAGTTTACTCTTAATCCACACACTGGAGTTATTCCAGACTCCCAACTGAATATATACATATTTGTGTGTATATATATATATATATAAACCACATAAACTCGAACATTTAACATACATACTTTATGTAACCTATCAACCAGTATCTTAGATCCCTTTCTTTTGGACCAAAAAAGGTAAGACTCGTTCAGAAAACCAGTGACTGGCCCTTTCTCTCGCAACACACACTGATGGCAGGTGCCCTGTGTCCACCAGTCAGCAAAGCATCCTCCAAAGCAGTTTTTGGGAAAGCCATAATAATGATAATAAAAATGTATCTGAGGAAAGCAGACGTGAAATACACCTAACGCAGAAGGGAAGAGGCATCTCTGCTGCACAACCACTTACCCAGAACCTCCAGAGACCAGGCACAGAGGTGGGATCAACTGAGCCTGCCTCCAACCAAAGTCCCATCTGCTTTGTCAGAGCTGAAAAACCCCAGTTCCCTGGCGCTGTGCTGATTACTATGAAAGGGCATGAAGGTGAAAGGAGTGAAAGTGGAAACCCTGTGGCTTAATTCAGTAAGACAAAAAGGTGAAGAGATGCTAGGCTCTTCTCATTTTGGGCCGCAATCTTCAAGCCAAGGTAGGCAAGGAAAGGAGCAAACTCTGCTCTCAGACAAGTAAGCACACTGCTTTTTAAGGACAGGGGAAACCAGCATTGCCCCCTTAGAGCCACAGTTTGGTGTACTATTAGCTCTGAGAGATTTTCTTTTGTATTCCTCAGTATTTTTGGGTACAGGAAGCAAAACTGCTCTGCAGAAAAAACACTCTAATTAACAAAAATCCCTTGATTAAAATTTTAATAGCTGTAATCATGGAGGTCTTGCTGAGTCTTTTGAACCTGTGCATTCTTCTCTTAGCTTGAAGCTATAAAATGGAAATTTTTCCAGCTAGAAAAACCTTCAGGGAGTTGTGAGTTAAACCTCAATTATATACCTACCTACCACATATAAATCAGTTTTGTCCAAAATGGGAAAAAAGAAGCATTACAGAAATGCTGAGGCTAAATCCAGCATGGCAATTACTTAAATTCAGAAACAGGCTTAGCATAATCAAAGCAGCATTTTTGTAAGGACTTACTTCAAGATAAACTGAACATTATCTAGTGAAAGAGGACACAGGCAAAAACTTTAAAAAACAAACCAAGGGTAAAGAAGGATAAACCGATAACTCCTGTACATCGCAGCTTTCATAACCCGATGAAGAACAGAGGCCCTTCCGAAGAAAGTATGTCACAAGGAATATTCCACCTCTAATTTCCCCTTCTGTGGTATGAACACTGCAGCAATTGCTGCAGCCCCAGAAAGGAGGAATAGGGAAAGACCATCAACACGTTTCCCTTTGCTCTTCTCCTCTAAAAGCTCGCCGTGCTGGGAACCCTGATGATATGCAGCCCTAGTGTTGCCTCCCAGAGGTATGGAGGCTTCTGGGATGCCGCATGAAAAAGTAAGGCAAATGAAGCTTGAGGCAAATGGTTCATTTTGTGGTGCCCCTCCCTGCAGTGGGAGAAGCACTGGAGGTTCTTGCCTGCTGTCGGCTACAGTACCCAGCCTTCACCACCCACCCGAGTCCCATACTCCTTCCCGGTGGACTTCCTACTGCAGTCGGGAAGCACCAGGTATCCTTGCTTAAAGAAAAATGATTGCCATTTTAAGGGAAAGTTTTCACTTTCCCTTTCAAAAGGAAACGCATATGTTTCTTTCCAGCTATGGTGATAGATGGATACCTTACTTCACGCAGTCAAAAGAGCAAGTTAGTAATTTTTTCTCACAAGGAACTTCCTCTCACCCAGTAGTTGTGTATGTACGTGACAGCAGCTTCAAATTCACCAGCAGATCCAAATGTGTACTTCATTTCCACTCACACACAAAGCATTTTATTTTGCAGTGGAAGGAAAGATAGAAAAAAGAAAGCCAAGAAAAGGGGCACTTGCTTATCATCCTAGTACCAGATTGCCTGGAAACATGAAGAGCTTCTTCAAACAAGTCACACCAAAACATACTCATACAGCTCCAGATTATCTCAAATGAAGTATCATCTCCCCTGGGACAAGCCACCCATACGAACCTGGCTGCTTGTGCTCTAACCATGGCAGGAATGCAATCGGGCTTCATGTCTACACTGTGAGAACCACTCACACAAGAAAGGCTATGGAAAGTCAGCTCTGCATGTACGTGACTTCTAAGACAATTCCCATTACAGCTCCTCTGAGCTGCACAGGCGCATCTGCCTGTTTTGTTAAAAGCTGGAGTGCAATAGTCTCTTTAGAAATGAAAAAGTTGCTTTGCTTTCATTTTCAGCAGTTTCTTCCTTTTTTTTTTGTAATGTAATAATATACTTTTTTTTTTTACTTCTAACCAAAAGTTTTATTTTCATAAAATTTAAAGCAGTATCTTTTTTAAACAATCAAAATAATAACAATAATAATAATAAAATAATAAGTGGCTTTCACAGAAAGCAACATGCATAATCTTAAACCAGTTACTAAAACTGTATTTCCCCATGTAAACAAGGGCAGACAAGCCTCTTCTGATCTTCTATGTCAAAATTCAGCTGAGTTTTTTTTGCAAAGGACAGTCTCTCTAAAAGCTGTTAAACAAACTTACAGCTGATCTTAAGCATGACTGTATTGATGGTACTTATTACTGAGGACTTTTGATTGTTCTTCTGCCTGCATGAGAAAGTCCTTTTCCATGGGCCTTCATGAGAGCAGCCTCTGGCCAAGTCAGAGTTTAATGTCCTGCGACTCTGACATTTTGGCAAGTGTCTTCTTGACTCGCAGGGCTGTCAGTCGGGAGGCAGGATTGTGAGCCCAGCACTCCATCATCAGCTTCCCCATCTGCCGTAGGCACTGAGGAGAGAAACAGAAGTCCCACCTGGGTCAGTGGAAAAGCAGACTGCAGTTGGCAGCAATGCAAAAAACTGAAGGGAAAAGGTCTTTTCCAAGGGCAGCCAAAGAAAACAGACAACGTGCTGGCTGGTATTGCTTTTCAAGAGCTTTTGCTGTCTGTATATTGAGAGTTCTCCAAACATGCCAATTCCTCTTGTAATTTATGACAAATTATAGTCTAGACTTGGATATATGCTCCAGAAGAGCACTTTTATTTCTCTTTCCCCAAACCTGTGCAGCCTGACCTTCACAAGCGTGGCTCTGTACAGTGAGCCCTTTGCTGTACAAACACGGTGGAATTCATTTTCCTCAGCCAGTGACCAGCCCCTGGGGTACAGCCCAGCATGAGCACGCACCCATGGCTCCTGCCCAGTTGCACAAGTCCTCAAGCATCCCAGGGAGGTTGTTTTGGTTTCCCCCTCTGTTCCCAAATTGCTTATATCTCACGCCACCTAAATCTTTCATCTACCTGCAGAATATTCATCTACACACTGCTATTCCCAAATGGCAGCTAGTCTTCTGTGACTGTAGAAAACTTTACATCATTAAACTGTACCAATTAACATGATTAATGACCCCTCCTCCATAGTATCTCGAGAGCAGGTTTGCCTGCGGTAACTCAACTGTTCGTCTCCGATCCCATGAGCACAACTTTGCTTCATTACAGATGCTCAGCAGGAGAGCTCAGATTTCCTCTTGAGCCATCTCACCTCCTTCTTTTATTCTGTAAAGTATTTTCTGGATCCTACGTCTCCTCTGAAAAGCCACATCTGTAGCCCTCTGCTAAAATACCAAGAGGGACATGAGCATTGTTTTCTGTAAGATGTAAAGGAGTGAATGATCAGTGCAGCTCAGCTACTGTGGTTGTACTATTGCTAGTATCTTGCAATCATGTTAGCATAAAATCATAGTAAAATTGTGTTTCCAGGACCGCACACAGTGATCACAGAAAGCTGTATGCTCATTTCATGTCAAAGAGAGAGATATTTCCTTCTTATAAAAGGAAAAAGGTTGGAATCAAAGCCCACATATCAGCATACACTGAAGTAGCTGCCAATACACCAAGTATGCTGCAATTCTACTATATAATACAAAACAGCTTCTCTTTCAAGTTTTTTGGCTAGGCATTGATTTAATGCTATTAATGCAGGAAGCAGAAAGCAAAATGAGTGCAAGAGGAAAACAGAGAGTCCAAGAAGGTCTGAGCACAGCCTGCTATTGCTGTGGGACCTGGTAAATAGCACATGAGGAACACACTTGCAAATATTGTAGGTTATGGCCCCTGGGGCTCTGAAACCTTCTGTGGGGGTATCTGAGAAGGTCATGCTCCTTCCCAAGCCATGTTACACTGTGACTGGTGCTGGCACCAGTGGTAAAGCTCCTCCTCAGTCAAAATGATGCAGAATTGGGTCAACCTCACTCACTCGCTCTGCTTGAAAACAGAGGCTGCACTTTAAAAGCGACAGTACCTCATCACTGCTCCATCTGTTGGGAAACGAAGGGCGCAGTCTCTTGATACACACAATTTCCCGCATGTCCTCATACGAGGGGTCGGTGGGCACAAGGTCATGGTACGGAAGCTGGTATTCCTCAACTATTCCTGAAAGAAGTAATTAGTTGCCCATCATTTGCAAAAGACACCTTCCACTATGCTCTTCCCCTCTCATTTTGTACCAGGTTGGTTGTACTGGTTAACAATTAGATGTACTTCTTAAAAGGACTTCCCTGCCCTAGAAGTTTATTCCACAGTCAAATTCCAATGTAACCATTGCCATGTAAAGTCTGGGCAGACATCCTAATCTGAAAGTGCAATCACTTTTCAAGTGAGACAGTTTCTACCACTACTGTCCCATCCAGCGATCTTCAGTAAGGTATCACAGGAAGTACTATTAGCATAGGGCCTCTACCAGAGTAATCTGGCTGTGAAATAATCTTGAATTAGGTCTCCTTTTTACCAGTGGAACTGGTGTATGTTAAAGGGCATTTCTGTGCCTTTTCAGAACTTGGCAAGAACCTGTTGTGCACAACAACAAAGACAACAACATTACAGATTTTACGTTACATAACTGCAATGCACTTTGCCAGTTTGTAAACAGGGATCTCATTGCTCATCAGTGAAATTCAGCTTCTCTAGGTAACGATGGAGTGAGCATTCAGCACAATACTGCAGGCTTTAAAGACCCATAAAGTCTGGTGAGGGTAGTGTAGACCCAGGAGAGACATGCTCTCCTCTTACTTGCCACCAATGTGGCACATAACCGCTGCCAAGTCATTTCTCTGCATTCAGATTTCCTTGGTGGCAAAATAGAGGTAATAACACCCATCATTTCTGCACTACACTGAACTCTACATGCAGAAAGCACACATAGTCTATTTGTAGAAGGATGGATCTATGCCGTAAGTCTGCAGTTGGCTGCATTGCTTTATCTTTGCTGTCCTCACACTTGAATGCTTGATATCAGAAGGAAATCAATGATATGATAACAATGTAATGAGTGCCACTTCCCTTTTTTTTTCTCTTTGTCTTATAAACAGATTATTTATTTTAAATAATGGCACAGCATCCCCCCAAATTGTTTGTCCTCCGCCTTCTAATTAACTCTAACAAAACAAATAAATCACTGTTTTCTTTCTTCTAAAATAGCTAATACCCTCAGTCCAGCAAAATGCGTTACCATTGGAAAGGCCCCCAGATGAGTTCTGTATTCCTTCTTCAGTGCAGGCATCGGCTGCCTTCAAATGAGCCATTAAAACACAGTCTAAACCTCTGCTGCCGAAGTAGCACTGACTGATGCTTTAAAATAAGTTTCAACAAGAGAACAGATACTAAGGGAGTTACCTGTATGGTTTATCCACTTTTGTTCATCACAGTAAAAACAACTACTCAGTGAAAAAGAAGATTTGGGTTATAAATGGGGTTCACTGATACAATTAGAAGTGATCTCTCAGCTCTTTACCTCCTGAAACACATCTCCTTGCTATTTCCCAAAGGATGAGTCCAAAACTGTACATATCAGCCATGATGTACGACTGAAAATGGTTTCTGTTCAAGCTTTCATCCAGCACCTCAGGAGGCATATAGCGTTTTGTTCCTACACGGGTGTTGGGAGGTATGTCCACCTCGTTTGTATCACTAAAAGAAAAAGAAAGGGGGAAAAGGGCATTAAATATGTGATAAAGTGGCTTGAAAAGAAAGCAACTTAGATGGGAGAAGTAGTAAATTCAAACCATACCCACTCTCGAATAAGGTCAAAAGTAATGCATAATCTTAATGGAACAACTCTTACAAGGAAAACCTCTTAGTGTAAAGGCAACCCTCCTTAAAAGGCTGACCCACCTGAGGCTATGTTAAGTATTCAAATGCAGAACCAGTTTGTGACATTTCATTAGTACTAGCCTGAGCTCTAATGCTGGTGATAACAATTACATCTTCATCAAATGCTATTTTCTTAACATACTCCACCACCTAATGCTTTAGTCTTAGCAATTAATTGAGGACACTTAATAGCTGGGGTAGGATCACTCAGCTATAGCAAATCTCAGATCTGCAGGGAAGAGGAGTATAACCATTTTTCGTGCATGCATTATGTTTGATCTCTCCCAACCTTCACACATCAAGACGTGCAAATAGAGAGACATAAATGTGTAAAAAAATCTAATCAAATGTGTTATACTCCACACATTTACCAGAAAATACAATGTATACCTAATGGGAAGAAAATTCCCATTAATTATGTGACTGGATTTGCTACTTTTTTTTCTTATTAACTCAGATTCAGCTGTATCAGTTTTAATGCTTTTAAAAGTTCAATATGGTATATATTGTGGTTAGCTTAAAAAGGTCTACTTTCTTTTCTCCACATTCAAAACATATGTATTTTAAATGTGATGGATACAATGAAATCTTGCAGGATAATTACACAACTTCTTCTGTAATTTTTTCTCACCTAGAGCCATTTTTTTTCACCATTATGAAAATGACAAAAAAAGCTGAGCCCGAGGTCACCTACACAGTCATTAAATCATACATATGCCGGTGGTATTTCTGCATACTTCCAAGAACGTAACATAAATTTAGTGACCTGCAGTGCCTTGCAACATCTCAAATAAAATGAGAAATGCAGAGAACTTAACTCATTAGCTTTAGCAGAGCACACCCCTTTTAACTACTTTTTTCTGTCCTCATCCTTGCCTGAGAAATGCTGCCTAGGGAAGTATTCAGCATGAAAACAAGTCAAGTACGTAATGTAAACCCCATCTGGACTATGACAAATACATATTTCACCTTCTTTTATAGCAACACTTGGTATTTTCTAGTTCAGTTCATACCTAAGCAGCATGCTGCCTCTGTACTTGTCAGGCAAGGAGTACCCACAAAGGGTGAATTTCTTCCCTGAAGCTTTTACAGCAAATAGTGCATTTCCGAGTTGCTGTTTTCTAGGACCCCACTCCTTAACGTAAAAATATTCCTTCCTCATCTCGTAAAGAAAGGTTAGGTTCAAAGGGAAAAGCCTCACCAAGAAATCAGGCAGATAAGTGAATAGTGAGAAGAGAACATAAAAACTGCCTTTTCTTACCCTCTGAACAATTTCAATTCAAGATTTATACAGAATTCTTTTTTTTTTTTTTTTTTTTTTTTGCCTGATACTTCAGGGAGCACACGGTTTCAAAGCTGACCTCTGAAACTGCAACCTTCAGTGTATGGTCACATTTCTGTACACAGGAAATTCAGACACTTTGAACACACTGCTACCACTGCTGAGAGCTCAAGCTCCTTTTCAATGGAGCTGTCAGACAGCAAGGACTCCTTTACGAATCCCAGGAGTAACTTGTCCTACTTGTCTGCTCTAAGTTGTTTAAACACACAACTAATTTTTTTTTTTAATCAAATTTAAAAGCCATTTCAAAAATCAAATCTGTGCTTCGGCAATTTGATTTGTAGGAAATGAAACAAAAGGCGGTCCAAATGGGGTGCTTTTCAATAAATCCCAATTAGTAACTTCTGCAAATGATTAATATTATGCTATGCAAGTTGTGAATGTATTATCTTGGGATCAGACAAACAAAGCTTCAGTGACAAGTTTACTGACATGACTTCAACCTGTCATTATGACTTTTTAGCATGTGGCAGCAATGCTCGGGCTGCTATTGAGAGCGAAGTGATGAAAATGGAGCCTTTATGCAAATGCACCTAATGTGCTTGACAGTTAAAAAGCAACTATTTATATACCCACATTATGGGTTTATGTCACACTCTCACCCACACAGGTAGCCTTCCTGACACACAGACATGAGCACACACACTGCAGGTGCTTTATTCACATGTTGACGCTTCCTCAGTCATGAACAAAACCAGAGTTTGCCTCTGATTTACCAACTTTTCCTTGCCCTCCTCACTTCTACTCACCTGATAAACTTAACAGCCAGGCCCAAATCTGCTATACAGCAGGTGCCGTTCTTTTTCACCAGGATATTCTTACTTTTTAGGTCACGGTGAGCAATAGCAGGTTTGCCTTGAGTACTGAAGATCTCAGTGTGAAGGTGGCACAAGCCACTAACCGAGGAGTAAGCCAGTTTTAGCATAGCTTTTGTGTCCAAGGTAGTAGATTTTAGATAATCATAAAGTGAGCCGTTCTCATGGTAGTCAGTGATGAGATACAGCTGGGTCCAAGATCCTGTACCTTTAATGTCTGCAGCAATGAATCCTGCAGAAAAAAAGATTTCAATTTATAATACTTCTCAGGGCTTTTTTTTTTTTTTGGTTGCTCAGAACTCTCAACTGACAAGACACTTCAATGGTTTTATTTTAATAACGTATTTAAATTCTTTCATCTTACTTCCATGTACCTTTAGCCTTTAACATATTTTCAGAAAGCCCAGACATGGAACTACAGGTGGCAGAAACAGACGCATGGTGTTGGAGTATCAGTCCCCCTAGCCCACCCTTTTTTAACTTTTATTTATGCGTCAGTAATCCTTGAAACATCTTTCTTTTGGAAAGTGCTGGGTGGATAATTGCAGAGCACAGCAGGTAACAAAGCACATGAGGAAAGGGCATCAGACAACAGGAAATACAAAACTTAAAATTCAAGAAACCTGTACGCTATCAGATAATTCTCTTTAATTTCACTCACCAAGAATATTTTCATGCCTCATCAGGACAGTCTGGTAGATTTCTGTTTCTCTGAACCAGCTGGCCTCCTCGGTGGTAAAAAAAACTTTCACGGCTACCTTTTCGCCACGCCACTTTCCCATCCAGACTTCACCATAGCGACCTTTTCCAATCTGCTTTACCATCTGAATCTGTTTTGCAATTGTCCTTTGAACCTGTGAAATGCCAAGATGGGCAGTTACAGCTTGCTCAGCATTCACCTCCCTCCTTCTGCGCCTCCTTCCCGTGCTGCAAGCCTGTTGGAAAGGGGGATGCACAGCCACTGTAATGTAGATTTCAGTAAAGCACTGCAGCAGAGATGCTCCCTGTTTTCCCCGAACACAGAATGGGTGAAGCCATTCCTGCCATTGTGAAGAAGCCTTTCCATGCAATCCCAAAACACACCATGGCCTCTCAAGAAAGTAAATCAGTCTGTGTGAAGGAAGCATTGGCCAGCAATTCCTGAAATTTTTATTTTCCTGTGGGAGGTTGCTACTTTTGATGGAATTTTTTTGTTATTTCCAGAAAAGCTTTGACTGAAAACACTCCTGGCCACCCCAATGCATACCAAATTCCAAAAGGGTAGCTAACACATTTTTGATTAAAATGGGGATGTTTGTTACATGCTCAACACAACTAAGACTCAAGGCTAGGGCTCACAAGAGCCAAAAGCATATCACTGCTCCAGAACTAGCAAAATTACTCCCTAACACTTTGCCTGAAAATCCCATGGCTAATAATTTCAACATATATAAATTTGATGTTATGAACCTCAAACACTACTTACACAGGTAGAACCCATGTGCCTACATTAATTTTAATAGCCATCATTACACAGTAATAAGAAGTCAGATTTTTTTTTCTAAAGATATGGAAGAACAGCTTTAAATCTACCCTTTCTAGTACCTGTACCAGCTTTGACAATGGCCAAATTTTGAATTGATGCTAAAGTCAGACGTAGCATAAGCTATAGGCAGTGGTAGCATCAGGTCAATGTACTCGGCAGCATTGCAGAGGTATCGCTCATGAGGATGGCAGACTCCAGTATCGGATGGACTGATTCTACATTTAACAAGCTTTTATAACTACAAAATATCTTGGATAAATGAAGCCTCACAGGACTGGAGTATGCCCATGGATCACTGTCTCTAGAAGTCCAACAATAAAAACTCTAGTAAATGCTGCAACACAACCCACTGGTTTTCATACTTGACTCAGCCTAACCCTGGTATAACAAGGCATTAAAATGTCACCCTCTTGTTCTTCAGTATTGCCAGTTCAATCCACAGCTAATGACTTGGTTTTTCATCTGGCCCAAGCACTTGGCAAAATCTGGACAAACGCAAATTTGAGTTCTCTTGCTTTTGCCATGATTTGTATGCAATTTCAAGCAGTTTATTGCAGCAATTGTGCACTATCTAAATCCCTAGGAAAGCTCCATGTAATCCCAAATATTTTTGCAATCCTGGCTGACAGAAATGATCAAAACCTGATTTTAAAACCACTGTCTTTGTTATCTCTGGGAGGTCCAGAAGAAACTACCAGTTTGGTACTGGAGAGCAGGACTGACACAAGCCCACTGCAGCACGAATGTATGCCCAAAGATGAAATCAAAACCTATTAGGAAAGGTCTATTATAATTTATTTTGTAAATAATTACTTGTTTTCATATTAGGCAATTTAAAGAAGAAAAACATAGAGTGGCATTTATACAAAGCTATCTCAAAAGTCCCAGCCTTTTTCTTGTGGCATTTAAACAGAATTTTGTTTTTCCAGCCCTGTAATGCATTATTAGACTTCCAAGATGGTGGCTTCAGTGTCATTATTTTTGAATAATATCAGTGAAAGCCAGCAACAGAGATTAGCCTTAATTTTTTAAACTGATTTTCTTTTATACTCTCATATAGTGATTGAACAACAGTTATATTACATTGGAATTTTACTGTAACATTTTGTAATGTCATTTTAGCATTGTCGCTTTCTATTTTGCCCATTTAAAAAATGCATCCTGAACAATAATGCAGTTACATCAAATAATTTGTGTAAATATATGTAATGGCATCATAAAGTACATGGAATTACAATACTTAATGATGAAAAGTTCCTTATTAAATTACATTAAGAAAATGAAAACGCATTTCTGTTATGGGCTTTCAGGCGGCAGAATGCTATGTGAAGGTCCTTAACCTGGTTTTCTCTTGCTAGAACTGGTCAAATGATTTCCTATGAACAATTTATTTTATTTTAAGGAATTTAGCCCTTTCTTGAATCATACACTGATTACAATTTCTAAAACAAATTGGTTAATCAAAATTGTTGGGTGAACTGATTTCATGAGCATTCTGAATAATATGTTCATGTGAATTATTTACACTGAGTAGACTGGGGGGGGTGTTGTTTCTTTCTGTGTATTTTGCTGCTTGAGCTCTAGCTAAGGTTACATGGCCCTTGAACAGCCAGGTAAGGTTACATGGCCCTTTGTTTCCCCTCCCTAGCTGGAATCAATCCAATTACCCATTGTCTCTATTTTCCACATTCTATTTTTGTGATATTCAGCTAAATATGTTCAGCTATTTCAGATGAAAATTCAGACAAACCAACCTTTCGTAACATCAATATTTTGACCACAGAACTTCATACCTATGGCTGGGTTGCAGTCCCTTGAAAAGCGAAAATCATTGGGAAAGGAATTAGGAAGAAAGAACACAAAAAGGTAAAGAAAAAACTGTAATTCAGCAAACTCTTCATACAGACTGCAATAAATATCTCCAGTGCCTAATCTCCTTCTCCAGTTTTGCATGTGGATTCATGGGGGCAATAGCTTCATCCTACACTTCTTACTCTGTCAAGGCCAATGGGATTCTGCTTGCTTGCACAGACTTGATTGTGCACCCTGGCCTGTTGGCGCAAAGCCTTTATTTAGAACTAAATTTATTTTTGTCTTGGTTTAAAATTGATTGGCAGCATTTAACCTGCAGCAAACTTCTCTGTCAGAGGTACAAACAGGTCAGGAGAAAGGACGTTTGCTGAATGTCAAAGTATCAATAAAACCTTGGTTAATGCTTGGTTTTGGTATAATATTTGTACCCATTAGAATAAATGTTTTACACAGAAGGCAAATGTTACTGTTTAGCATAAAGTGACATTTTGTAATAAATCTGTGGCTTACTTTCCTGGAATAATAACTCTGGATGTTTTGCTCTGGTAAGAAATAATATAGTTGAAAACAAACTCTTCCACAATAAAGTCTAGAGCATTATTGCCAGGCACTTCCTATATATTTGTTTCAGACATCAACCCAGAAGTATTAATCTGAGCATTGCTAGCGAGCCTGTAGCAGTTATAGCTCTCTGGGAAATGAAGCAAACATCTATTACCAAGTGCAAAATTCATTATAGCTCTCCTTTTTCTTCAATGCCACAGAAAACCACTACTTAAAAGGAAAGTCTGGGGAAAAAAATGTATGCATTTTCACAGCCTTCAGGAAGAATACTTGGTCCAGAGGCTGCAAAGTCTCCAGGCTTGGGAGAGGACTCACAGAAGACAGAATGGTTTCTGCTTTATGGAGTACCGGCACAGCTCTGATGAGTACTGAGCAACAACCCGGCTGGGACACCACCTTGGCCATTAAAGCAGTTGATTAGCAGGTCAGTTTTTCTGCAAACTGCAAGAGTAACCTGGGGACACCAGCAATACCATACATCCCATCTTAACCAGCTCACAGGGACAGAGGAAGGTATAAAGAACAAGAAGCCACATTCAGCCTTCCTCAATCTTTTTTGTCTCACGGGCATCCTAGGATGAAGTATCAAGCCATGCACTGATATGAGATGCCTCAGGGCGCCTACTACCCACATGGGCTGCTGGAAACACATCCTCCAGAGAAGAACAACCAAGTTCCTACTGTTTGCTCTAAATTATTATACTATTTCTGTTACTACAAAAGGTAGAAGCACTAAGTGCAGACCAGGACCTTAGTGTGGCAGGCGCTAACCAAAAAAAACAAAGCAAAAAAAGAGCAAGAGCCCCTCACAATTAGATAAATTGTAATCACTCCCTAGGAATGCTAGAGGGACATTGGTATGGGATATGATAGAGCTTTCTTAAAGTCTAGACCTAAATGATGGAGAAAAATGACCATGGGTTTTCTATGTTCACCACCGGTCACAGCACCAGTTTGGCAGCCTGGCTTTTTCCTCAATAGCTTGTTAACTGTCAGAAAATTGGATTTTTAAAAAAGTCTGCACTTTATTTAAATGGGGCTCTAAGCATTTTCTCCTGTCAAAACAAATTGCGTTCAGTCAGGTTTTTGCCAACCACTTATCCTGTTGCTTAATTTTAAGGATTTGTAAAACCTCCAATTTTATTACTTCTTTAGGGTGCAGAAAAAAAACATGCGGGCAAAAACCAGATAGATAGTACACGGTACTTGGAAACTGGGCAAGATCTACAGTAATAGGAACAGTAAACTAATATTTTTGGGAGACAGGAAGGACACATCATCTCTGAAAAAAAGAAAATGAAATTAGTTCATTTTCTCAGAACAGTACTTTTAAATAAGTAACCTGGCTTTTTTGTTTTGTTTTGTTTTGTTTCAGTACTAAAAGCAACAATGACCCCTAGAAACAGAAGTGTTTTGCCACAGAAGGCGAAACTTCTGCCTTTTCAGCAGGTGAGTTCAAGTTCAGTCATTCTGTAGTCAGTTCAGAAATAATCACAAACTCCATCCCTGTGCCTTTAACCTTTGAGATGACAAGGGAAAATAATTCACTCTTGAATTCTGAATGCACAGTGAAGTCTACACATAAAAAGGTTCCCAGTTTGATGAATTACAGTTCCTTTATATAAAGACGGTGTGTCAATGTTTGAAACGCTATTGTGTGTTGCACATAAAAAGCAAGAAAATAAGATCGGTCTGCCAGATGCTGTCTTGTACACTGGAGCAAATCCTGATGAACTTTTGTGAACTCTATTAACCTGTACTTTCTCTATGGTATCTAAAATAAGAAATGAGCTGAGGTAAAAAAACACTCTTTAGCTTTTCTGGTGTAGTCTGCATGAAAGAACAGTCTCCAGCTTTCTAAAGCAGCTGTTCTTCAGCTTAAATCCTTTTCATTTCTGGGACAGGAAAAAAAAAAACAACCTAAAATAGCAAATGAGGACACACAAATGTATTTTCTTCTGCCTCATTTTGTCTTCCTCTACTCATTCTTCTTGCCTTTTAAACTTGCTCTGAGATAATATTGCTTTCTTACCAGGAGAGGGAGTCCGGAGCCGCTCCCTGAGCTCTGGGACTGCTCAATCAAATCCTTCAGGGACTCTCCAGGGGGAATGTAGGTTTCATCCTGCTCCAACCCAATGCTGTAGTGGGGCCTCGTCTCTTGGCGCTTGTATCTGCCATTTTACATGGAAGTGAAATTAGCTTTGAATACAATGAACACATGTGAAATGAATAATGCACACGGACCTCCACGTCTGCTTCATTCATAGACTCGCAGCTTCCTCTGCTTCCCTGGGGAATGTGCTGGACTTACTGCCCAAAACTTTCTATTTTATTTTTAGCAATGTTTGATGCTTTCAGTATAAAACTCAAAGACTGTGCAATCTGGTGTAAGTTTGCAAAGAAACCAAATGTTTTTCTTTCAGAAATGTAAATACATTTAAAACACAGACTAAGAAATACCCAGTTTTATTTTACTGACTGCAGTGGATCTTTCAAGAGCTAGAGGAGGTAAGGTCATGGGATTTGGACTATTTAAAAAATGGAACAGATTGTTTAAACATAATGCACATAGAATTCTATGACATTCCAGACATATTTATTTACATTCCTGTATCCCTCTCTTTTTTATGATCAGTTCTTTGCCACGTAAAACACATTTAGAAGCCTTAGGTTTATTTCCCCTATCTAAAATTTGTCCTGTGGCTTTCTTACACTCAGTAAAGAATAACCTGTGCTTCTACCTGAATGGATTTTTAGGATGTTTGGCAAAAGATGCTGTATGAAATACATTTCACAGGTATACCTGCGACTAGGGTGAATAAAATACATTTTTCCTCATAATAAAATTACAGATTTCCATTTCTTTTCCTTAAGGTCAACTTCAATTTTTTTCAAATTCCTAAGTCTATAACAAGATAAATGTTGGGAGGAACATTAACAAGCTGGTAAAATATTCTTTACTTACCTGAAGTAGCAGAATATGATGATAAGCACCAGAAGAATACTGCAAACAGTCACCGAGATCAGCAGGGCCTTATGGTGAATGTTTCCTTCAGCAAAGTCTGGAATTAAAACCAGGAAGGTGGAAAATTTGGAAAGGGAGGTGGTACAAAGTCAGTATTAAGAGACACACACACCTTCAAAAGTGCAGCAAACATGATTTCCTCTCTTTTCTGCCAAAGTCCTGTGCAAGATACACCTGGCTTCCCCAGGTATTTTGTACTCTTCCTCTTTGACCCTCACTGATCAGGGCAGAAGCAGCACCTCCAAAAGCCTATTTGTCTTTTCAGCCCTCAATAAGGCAAAACATTGCCTTGATCTGCAAGATCTGTTTGACTCTGAATGAAAAATCAATTAAGACCTGTAGCTCTGTATCTTAACCTAAGTGATCAGCCAGGACATAGTAAAATTACTGCCTCTGTGTTAAATCACTCTTACTAAGTAGCATCCTATCAAGCAGTTAATGTAAAAAAATTAATAATTGCATTTATCCTAGGAGAGAAGACACAGAGGACCATCTAGCCCCTAAGAAAGGAGACCACAAGAGGCCTTGAAAGTATCTTTCCATCACTGCAGAATAATCTGTCTCTTGGATCCTGTTTTAAACACCTGAGCAGGAATTTTTCTCCTCCATTCACTTTATAGCAGCACTGTGTGCCAGCAAGTCCTTCCTATGCTCATGGGCAAAACTATCCTTCCAGCAGCTATTCTGTAAAACACTTTGAAAATTAAATGTGTCAAATAACCTGTAAAAATGCCATTATGTAAAAACGATTACAGCGTTTTGGTCAATCTTTGCATGGGAGACTCATATTCTCCTTTAAAGTATACCATTAATCTCCAAATTTGTATTCCTAACTCAGGCGAATCTGACCTTCATGCATCCTCTTCTGCTGAGAACCAGAGAAACCTAGCACTATTTCTCTTTAACCTCCCCTGCCCTCCAAAATCTCAGAACTATGGTACTGTAGCATGTAGGTACACATAACACCCTCACAGAGTTGCTATCTGATATAATGCAAATAAGGATGATGTTTTCTGAAGCTCTTCCAGCCTTGCATCTTCCACACTAATACCCAACACATTGTAATATGCAAGAAATCTATCCTTACCAACTCATCCTGGAACAGCACTATTACATTTCAGATTTACAAGGGTAATGAGAAGAGATTCCTAGGGGACTCTTGGTTCACTGTCAGGCTCTTTTACTTTTAAGATCCAGTTTCTCCTTCTGTTTTTGCACCCAAACTATTTCTTTCCTTCCCCTTTCCACTACAAACAGAGATTACCTACCAACACACCTTTTGATCACACTGGTCATGTTGTAACCTGCCATTCCCTGCTCCCGGAGCATTAAAAATATAAACATTCAAGACACAGCTGATGCCTTTGAAAGGGGACACTGACACGATGTCTATCAGGAAAACAGTGAAGCCCATCATTCTCCCTGCCACAGCACATTTCTCCCTGGCCTGCCACTCCAAGTGGGCTGTGAGCCGAAACTGAGAGCCCACTGGGGAATCCAGACCTCTCCCACGGAGGCTGCTCAGCAGGGCTAAGGGCTCTAGTTCACGCTTTGTAAGCAGCATGGGTTGGCCAGCCATTTCCATCTAAAATGTGTGGTTTGTAACAGTTTAAGATGTTGCAGCCCATCACCTGGGGATGAACACAGCACACATACCGTGGAGTACTGTGTGCAGTTCTGGTGTCCTCAACATAAAAAGGACATGGATCTGTTGGAAGAAGTCCAGAGGAGGGCCACGAGAATGATCAGGGGACTGGAGCACCTCCCATATGAAGATAGGCTGAGAAAGTTGGGGCTGTTCAGCCTGGAGAAGAGAAGGCTGCGTGGAGACTTCATAGCAGCCTTCCAGCATCTGAAGGGGGCCTATAGGGATGCTGGGGATGGACTCTTCATTAGGGACTGTAGTGATAGGACAAGGGGTAACGGGTTAAAACTTAAACAGGGGAAGTTTAGATTGGATATAAGGAGGAAATTCTTCCCTGTTAGGGTGGTGAGGCACTGGAATAGATTGTCCAGGGGGGTTGTGAATACTCCATCCCTGGCAGTGTTCAAGGGCAGGTTGGATGAGGCCTTGGGTGATATGGTTTAGAACGAGGTGTCCCTGCCCATGGCAGGGCAGTTGGAACTTGATGATCTTAAGGTCCTTTCCAACCTTAACTATTCTATGATTCTATGATACTGGGATTCTGTACTTGAGAAGAACCCGGATATCTGTCAACAGCAAGGCTTTTACCATTTCACAGAATAAGCCATGATGGAAGATGGGCTTTTATGCTTAGCAGTAATGAAAGCTGATGTCAGATGCAGAGGGCACAATTAAGATCTTGTTCACATTTGTGTATGCTAGACATTATAGCCAAAGAAGTCTGTGCACAGTCACAGAAGTCTGTGCATTTACACAGACACGAAGTGTTGCACTACCAGAACTTGTAAAGCACCCATACGGTGTGTGCCTGAGTATGTACACTCAGGAGAGGGATGATAATGATGCTGAAATCTTGAATCAAATTCCAGACATATTTAGGGTTTAAATGATTCACACTCTGTGCTCAATGTGTAGCTCTCCAACTTCAGACTCCAGCATTGCCAGATTTTTTGATACCTAAATGCAATTGTGTGAAGCAAGTACAAGGCAGCATGCAAGACATAAAGGAACATGTCTTGATCTGCGTGCTGTGAGCAGCTAATGCAGACTCCAGTAACAGCGATGCTTACACTCTTGCAGCAGGTGATGTCCCCTATAGCTAACACATGACCACTACCAATGGTTCAATGTGCACAGCATGGGTATGCAACTGGCTCTCACAGGAGAGAATAACTTCCATATGTCTTTATTTGGCTATGTATGATGAGACGCAATAGGGATAAGTGAGCTGTTGTCTCACCTTTTAAATATTCCCTGCATTTTCAAAGCATTTGGCAGAATGTCATTTGCTTGGTCACCTGAGGACTTCATAAACCCATTGGCACATGGACAACACAAGACTAAAAGCATGCCCCCATTCTTACACGAGCAACATCTGTTTGTTCTGCTGAACTGAGCCAGGCTGGTGTTGCTGGAGACCAACTCCTTTCTCCTCCTACAGCCCAAGCTGTTCTCTAGAGAGCATAGGACAAACCTCCCTTTCCTGGCACCTCCTTGACCATGCAGAGGGATGGGGAGGCTCAGCTTTGAGTCCACTTAATCACTGGCTCATGGGCTCCGTGGCAAAGGTAGTAGTGGGTACCAGTCAGTGTCAGTTTGTGTGACAGAGACACTCTGTCTTTAAGAACAGCAATACTTTACTTTCTAGTGTTATGTTACTTGGCAACTGCAATGTGCCAAGCAGCAGGGTTATGAGAATAAGCAGTAGCTTCCACGGAGGCAGCAGTGAGCAATTGCAGTGTGGGGGAGGGGGGTGTGCAAAACAAACATTCAGTAGCTTTGGGAAGCTTCTTCACATACCTCAACTGGCCAATAACAGCAAAGCCCAGCAAATTGCACGTTAGCAGTTTTATGTTGTACAAAAATGGTGGCGTGTGCTGGTGTCAATGGTGAGCAGCACAGAAAGGGAGAGAAGGCCACAAAAGGAAGGTCTTTGGTGATACCAAGCTGCCTCTCAGTTATTTTCCTGTGATTTCCCCCTCCTCCATCACTTGATCCCCTCACTCTCCCATACACAAGACCATGCTGAGAAGTGCACTGAAAATGCCACCCAGCAGGTTCAAGGGAGAAGTCAGCATATCAAAGGGCGAGGAGGTTCTCTTCCCTCCCCAGTTCACAATGTTACAGTTATCCAAGTAAAAACTGCAGTGAAATCTGAGGCGTGGAGACTGTGTGCACACATCAAACCCCATCATTCCTCCAATCATTCCCTTGACCATTCATCACAAGCTCTACAGGCAGGGAGCCAGACACGGTGGCACCACTACTTCTGCTTATATAGGCTTTAAATCAGTAAAGACATATTTCTCCTTTTGACTGGTCTCAGCCTTCACTTTTGCTGGGATTTCCAGGAATATCTTTTATTGTTTAAAGCAAAGGTGCTATATCAGACCCAATTAAGACTTTCATTTCCTTAATAAGACAGATGTACAGCTGGGATGAGGACTTCATGGTCTCTCTGGGGGTATTTTATCCTGCTAGTTCTGTATAAAGATGAATTCAAAATTTAGGCTTAGCTGTTGTTTCTTCCATCCTGCTTAACAAGCCTTGCTTTGATCAGCATTAATTCTTCTAGGTCCCAGTCTCATGTATGTGGTCCTGTTTCCTTTTCATGGTGGGGGAGTGAGTAGGGGGATGAGGGTAAAACCCACTTTCCAGTACAAGCCAGGTCTGGAAAAGAACTTTGGGAACGTAAGTGACTTGCCTTTGTGATGTTACCTTGGTGCATAGGTTAATTTGCAGTTCAGCAACCTCTGACCTGCAGCTGCATGCTCTCCCTAGACTGTTTCCCATGTGATATGACCTCGGACACAAGCTCATCGGAAGCCAAATTTCTGTTTGCTTTTAAATGCTGAGGAGCATACATATTTTCATGGAATCCTGGAGGTCAGAAGGCTGTTCCTAGAAGCTTGTTTTTAAGCTCATCTTCTCTTTCTTTGTACTTACAGTTTATGTTAAATTTGATAGACAATTCTAAAAGTACTCAATCACAGCCTGATCTAAATGTTTCCAATAGAAACAATGCTCACAGACACAGCACTTGGTACTGGCAGTAGCATGTATTTGAAAACTGTATTTGTACCTGGTTGCAGTGAAAACTATGGCTTTTCTCTGAGATTTCAGATTAGGGCACAGCAATGACAAATTAAAACAGGCCTGGCACCAAGAACAATGCATTTGCTTAAGGCCTTAGTAGAGGTGCTGACTTTAGCCCTGTCAAGCCACATTAATGAAGCAGTTCCTGAAATGTATTTTCATTATATACTAGGAGGATACCAGTAGTGGAAAGCATATTTTAAACAGAAGTCTTCAGAATATGTTGAGTGAATACAACACCTTTTGTTTGTCCTGCTAAATAGACAACTTTGCAACACAGAGCCGGTAGAATGCTGTTCCAAATCTATGAAATTTTTCTTTCAACAAATATTCTCTCTGCTGTTTTATGGGTCTGCCACCATGGTGCCTAAACACACAGAGCAAAATCAACATTGATCCAAACAGCTTCTGCCACTACCAAAAGCTTGTTTTATTACTTTCTGTGTAAGTAGCAGAGAGTATTGCCAAATAACTAAAATCTTAATAAGGCAGATGTCTAGTGTTAGGCATTGGTTCAGTATTTTTAAGTAGTTTCAGTGTAGAATAAACTCAGTCAGCAGCAGCAAGAAATCACGGCAGTGTCTTCCTAACTAAAATTACATTTATTGATATCCTAAGTATGAACAAATATTGACTTCTTTTTAGAGCTTCTCTCTCAGTCCGAAGAACTTTTTGAAACGAAAAAACCAACAAAGTAGTACATAACTCTTATGTTGGAAGTCAAGAACTTTATGAGGTTTCACTGACTTAACGGCTTGCTAGTAAACAGTGAAATATTTACATACTACTCTCCATAGGTTTGGTTTTGCAGCCCATCTGTGCAGAATTTCATAGGCATGAAGGGAACAGCTTACAGGAGTGAAAGCTTTCTCTAAGCATGCTTTTGTGTAAGTATCTGCTGATTGCAGATTTTCAACTCAGAACATCGTGATTACAAACTATCCTGCAACCTTGAACTGACTCTCGCAGACTAATCTCCATGCTGACCACTTCAAATCTTGGCCATTGCTCCCAGTGCCAAGAGTTTATTATGGATGAGCTTACAGTTACTTTGGAATACATTTCTATGAAATTTATCTGCAACAGCCAGCCAAACTAGTTTTACAAACTTTCAGGAAGTGATGTTTAAACAAGCAAGCGAAAAAGGTATAATCTTGCCCCAGAATCTACTAAGTTAGTAAACATTCATTTGCATGGGCTCTTCCCCTACATTCTGTTTTCAGCTGCATTTTTCATGTAGAAAAACTACTTCAGTGACTAATTATTGTGCTAGTGCTAGATATCAGGTCTTTCATATAAGAAAAGCTTAATGGTCTTCAGTCAACCTGAAGACCTGGACCCAGATGTGTGCGGAGTTGTGAACAGTAATGCACGTTGCAGGGACTAGAAATAAGATTCAATTTTTTTTCAGGTTAATAACGTACATAGCAAAAGGCATCCTCTGCCATGACAAACAAAAGCCTTTGGGATAATCACTGATAGCCAGCAGGCCTGTGCTAGGATAGAATTGTGTAACTAACGCATCTGGTGCTCAATGCATGCATGCAACAGATATAATACCAAGTATCAGCAACCATGGGTCAGGGCACTGCAACCCACATCCCCTACAGGAATTCAGCAACACTGTTTAATGCAGTTTATCTTTCTAATAATGTGCAGTTGAAGGGGGGTGCTTTGAGTTTCGGCTTTGTTTCTTCCTAAGGCACAAAGAGAAACAGCAGGAAAAGGTCAGTTCGGTACTGGTACCTCCCCTTACCTCGAGTTTTCAGTGGTGGCAGTGTAGGGTGAAGGTGTTTGTTACAGAAATCTTGGCCTGTGCAACATTCAATAGATCTTCTTTGGTGTGGAATAGGAGTGTCCTGCAACAAACAATTTGATAGAAAGTAAAGTAATTACCTATGTTGTACATACACATCATCGTTCTGGCACTTGACAAAAAGATGCCCTTGTTAGCTGGACTGCAGTCTGTCGCAGATTTCTAGGATGTGCAGAGTAAGGATATTTGCCACTGAACCTATCCAGCAACATTTCATCCAGATAATGAAGAGATCCATTCACCCCTAATTGATTTCTGTTAGTGTCTTAGTGCTGCAAAAGGGACTGAGTGTTTCTAATGGTGCAATTATTAGAACTGTGAAAGTGACATGAATCCATCAGTTAGATTTGTATTTAAAAAATAAGTTAACATGAGTATTCAAAACAGTTTAGCCAGAATAATATTGACATTTCTGTGGACTAATTTAGCTGTCACTTCTACTCTAATGGGAAGCTGGGTAAAATACCTTTCATGGACCTTGATGGTTAGACTGTTCCTGTACTCACGTAGAATCGTTTAAGGTTAATGCTAGAAAAGACAAACACTTTACAGCGACCTTACTCCACTGCCCATAGCCATTCCACTGCTGCAGTAGTCACCAGGTGGTCACTGCACCTGAAGGGAATTTCTGGCACCAGAAATCAAAAAACTAAAGTACAGCTTCATGTAAGACATGAAGATTGTTGTGGTCCATCAGATAACATCCTAACTAATTTTAGCTACCATGGACACTTCAGGAATTAGACTGCATTTCTCTAAATTTGAACTTCCTCTGAGCTGGACTGTTACTAGTAACAGCAGTGCCAAAACCCAAAACTTACTGTTACAAGCAGCTATAATATCACCATTCAGGGATTTAAATTCACTCTTCTCAGCAATCAGTGCAGAACAACTATTACGCAATCATAGAGTGGTTTGAATTGGAAAGAACCTTAAAGCTCATGTAGTTCCACCCCCATCTGCCATGGGCAGGGACACCTTCCACTAGATCAAGTTGCTCAAAGCCCCATTCAACCTGGCCTTAAATACTGACAAGGATGGGGCATCCACAAATTCTTTGGGCAACCTGTTCCAATGTTTCATCACCCTCACAGTAAACAACAACTTCCCTACATCTACTCTGAATTTCTCCTCTTTCACTTTATAGCCATTATCCCTTCCCCTATTACTACCTATCAACCAAATAAACGGAAGTGAAAAATATGGACATAGTAATATCTGTTGACTGCACTTCAATTGAAAGCTGTCAAAAAGCCAAGCAATGCTGGCAGCAAATGCTTTCTTACCCGACACTGGAAGTCAGAGCCCTCTAATCCAAGACATCCCTTAGTGACTAAATGTCCACCGGACTCATCTTCTTCTATTATGGTAAAGCAGTAGCCATCAGTACTGAGGATTGGAAAGAATAAATCAGGAAAAAAACCTTTGAAGTGAAATATATGCTGCTGAATATAGTCTTAAACTTTGTTCCTTGCAAGGCAAATCTGCCATTAACAAATTGATGTACTAAGGCAGGCTGTATGACTCAGGAACCCAAGGCAACCTACCTCTCAGTGCAGTCCAACAGCCTACAGCCTGTGGACCAGCTCTTGCACACACAAAGGAAGCTCTGCCTTAGGAGTTCACACTTACCTTTCCAACATTCAACACCTATAAACACCACTAACAAACATCTCAATTCTCTGCCTATGGTCATTAGTGTGTTAAGACTTGGGAGACCTATATAAATGCAAGCATCAACACTACAGCAGGTCTACCTTGTGTGTGGGGGGAACAAGGCATGAGTATTTGCACCACGGTGAAGACCCGAAGAAGGAAACATTTTTGAGGTACTAAATACAAAATATTATTAAGAGTGATTTGTGATTCTTGTTTTAACAGTATTACAAACTGCAACACTCTTGTGTATGAGTCCTTGAGTTATTATCAACACCCTTCATAACTGTTTACTTGGGTTATAAGGCTGAAGTGATCCATAACGATTCCGTTTACAAGAACATGCACCAGGAGGACAAGTATACTAACAGATGACTAGATGGTGCTAGTGATAAATGTCCTTCTTCAATGAAGGTCAAATGCCTGAATGCTATGGAAAGAGGGGGAGAAAGGCACAAAAAGGGTGTCTGCATTTTACTGAGATTGCTGTACATTGATTTCTCTGCACTCTGAGGGAGATACACACCATGTGCAAGAAACAGAAATTGACTTGCAGGAAGAGGAACCAAAAAATAAAGAAAAAATATTCAATATAAGACATTTAAGTAATATAAAAATAAAATATTCTGTTATTTCCCCAGGAAAATAACACTGTTATTATGTGCAATGAGTATTTTTCAGAAGAGAAGAAACAAACTCAGTTAAACCAAGGAAATAAAAAGAAAAAAGGATTAGAAAACTGAAAGACAGCAAAATTTCAGATTATTTGTTCCTTATTTGAATGAAAGGAGAATCTAACAGAGCTATAACAGCAAAGGCAATGAAGATTAGGAAACTAGAGGCACAGCTACACATGTAAGAGATAAACACAATTTGTAAGTATTAACTACATGACAGGCTGATGCTGGATAGGATCATGTCAAATATTTGCAGTGGCATATTTTTATATTAGTGGTGCAGGGTCTAGCCATAGTAAGCTTATTACTTCAAATAATAATCTATCATGGGTTATTGACTTCTGGATTTGAAAAGTAACCAGTTTGTCAGACAAGCAAGAGATGACTTCTACACGTCTTTGACATTGTGCATATGAGTAACGCAAAGGAGACAGCAACCCTTCTGGATAACAACCACCTTGATTTCATTGCTTAAGCTTAAAAGATAGGAACAATAGGATTGCCAAGAAAAGACACTGTAAGGAATCCATTAGAGCAGAATATTAGATTAGATTACATTTTATTTGTTTGCATGGTGCCTTTTGATTCAAAGCAATGAGTAAGTTTAACCCAGGGGACAGAGTAACAAAACAATAAATTGCAATCAAGTGAAACACAAAAATGAACTCCACGGCTAACTGTCCCCAGCAAAACCAAAACAGTTCACCAGAGGAAAGCAAGAGAAGGAAAAGTCAGATTGTTTGCAAAAGAGGGGGGGGGGGGGGAAGAAGCAGGGAAGTATGCAGCTTTATTTTTTTTTTCTGTCTTCCACAGAATACTGATTCTTAGCTCATTTCTGAAAGTTAAACTCAGGCTCCTCAAGCATTTCAGTCCCTCTGAAAATTTTACCCCAATTTTAAAAAGACAAACAAAATTAAGACTGGATAGGGCAAAACGGAAAAGTTATTTGCTTCAACAATAAGGATAAATCACGTTCTTTACAGACAATGGAAGAGTAATGAAGGATAAGCATGAGACGAAAATAGCAATGCTGAGCAGAATAAACACTGGTACCACTTGTTTGCACCTCTAAGGAAAGAATAAACCAGAAAGTTTTCATGCAATGTAAGAACTCATTATTATATTGAAAATATCTCGGGTGTTTTAGGCAAGAAGTAGAAGTGACTCTTCTTAAAAGAAATAAGTATCTGCTTCCCCCCTTCTGCCCCTGACCTGTTCTCCTGGTTCACAGGATGTCAGATGGACCACATGCTGCAAGTAAAGAGCAGGGCATACCCCTGCTGTTTGATTACCTCACACCTGGTCTATGATAGAAATGAAACTGTTCTTACTATTATAACAACTCAAAACCAAGTCAGATCAGCCTGCATCATCTCCAATTCTATGTTTATTTTGTCGACTGTATAAATAGTAACATATGCACCTTGCTGATACATGCAAACCAAGATGAAAAACATATTCTCCACTTCCTAGCAAAGATTAGTAGTATAGAATTATTTCTTAAACTGTGTAATTTGAATACTGTGTAATTCGTTTCTACAAATGAAGCATAGAAAAGGAACTCAACCTGATGTTACTGAATACATCCAGGTACACATCCACTAGCCTCCACTACACTAAAGCAACATCTTCTTAGAGTATGGTGGAGGAGAATGATTAAATACATTTTGGATGTGATCACTAGTAAGCACATATTTGGTATGCCACATATTTGCCAAGACAAATGCGAGCAAAACAGAGGGAGCTGAGTTAACAGAGGAAATACTGACAGACACTGATGTAGAAGGTGCTGCTGTAATTACAGATTACCCAAAAGAAAAAGGCGATCTTAATGGAGACCTTTACTGAATGTCAGAAGAGAGGAACAGAGGCCAACAGCTTTGCAGCTGCTCACACAGATGTCCTCACTGGCCAACAGCCATTTCTCACAGAAGATACCATACTTCAGCTACCAAAACTTGACTGCTGAAGATTTCCTGTCCTGCTCTCTGCGTGTGATGCAGCCAGGGATGGCAATACATAACTTGGAAAAGCAACATCTTCCCTTTGTTCAGTGGCCATTACAAACAGATTGGATAAATACCCTGATGAAAAGATTCCTTATCTTTAATCTTATTTGCAATTGAGTCCATATGAGTATTACAATTTTTGTCCACTCCTCTTTATACTCCAGGTTTTGACATCAGAAAGAGCTAAAGCCCTTTTCATTTCCATCCAAAGCAACATGACAAGTTTCTATACTTTTAAAAAATTATCAAAAATGCAAAAATGTTAAATTATATACAGAAAGTAGGAAGTTCATATTCTTTTGCAAAAACTGGCAGAAATAATCTAATTCAAAAATTGGCTGACTCCCAATTTGCATCTAATTCATGTATTTTGTCGCATCCTTCACTTAAGGAAGATGATGAAGGCCAAATTTAGGACAATGCTGACTTTGGACACCATCCATAAGCAAACAGTCATAGTAAATGTGCTCAACACATTTTCAGAAAAAATAATATAGTTACCAGCTGTGCATCAGGGAAGTAACATGAAACCAAGCAAGAAGAGCACTACACAGTTGCTGAGCCAGATGCACCTTCAGATGTTTGCACAGCTACTCTGAAGGCAAGGAGAGACATACAGGTGTAACAAAGCAAAGAAACTGGCTCACATGGGGCCACAGTTTCATGCCACGAGTCCCCAGGATGGTGACGTTGGTACTACCACACATGCCGTTCTGTGCATGGTACCTTTTGGCTCTCTGGGTGCTCAGTGATGACCGTCCACACAGAAAGGAGAATACCCAATGCATACTAGGAGAGCATCTTTTCATTGATGATATATGGGTCTATCAATCAATATTTTCTCTATTCTATCTATCTTAACTATTCTCCCAGGACTGAGACATGACCCAGCCCACCAAATATGTCTTGCATTGTTCTACTAGATCACAAATCAAATCAAACAGTTCTCCCTGACACATGGAGTCACAATGCAGAAAACATGCCACTATGCCAATCTGTGAGGGACAGCCCTAGAAACTGCAGGCTTCACGTTAAGTGTGAGGTTTGACAGGGTACTTCTGCATTTTCACAAGGGCTCTCTAGCACCTTTCACTTCTGTGCAAAATCCATTTCAGTACATGTGAGAACTATTAAGAAGCAGTCAAAATAAAGCTACTCATCTTCCTCTTTCTTTTTTTAACTTTTTTTATTCCTTTCTTTTGTCTCCAAAATTTAAACACAGACCAAATGTTTTCTTTTACTTGACCTTAAGATTACACTGCAGTTGAATTTGTATGATGCAGCTCCTTCTTTAATGTTACGACAGACTTAATATGGAGATTTGCTGTTACACTTTGTTTTTTTAATATAAGTAATTTAATATGCAAGGGAAGTGTTAGGTATTCCAGCACTTTCTGCACAGTAACACCAAAGTACTCCCACACTGAGAGTAATTAATGCAACAGGTCTCAATAGAAGGATTGCATTACTATTTAGCTTAAGGTTTATACTAAATACCTAATGGGCAAGACCTAAGCAAAACTAAGAACAAGGAATTTCTGGGACACAGTTGAAAAGTGTGGGAGGGGGACTTTGTGTTTCTGTTTAAACACTTGGGGCAAAGTCATCTGCGTAGCCACACTTGAAACATACAGAGGGGGCAAGGAAAGACTGGAGCTTGCAAGAATCTGTCTCTGTTGCCCTTTGTTTTTTTATTTTAATCATCAAAGGGGACTCAGCTGCCTCTGGTACAGTATAAAGGATTCCATCAAAATATGAAAATAAACAATGAAAGAAATTGAAATAGTTAACTTGTAAGACCTCACCACAACTCCTTTATCAGAAAATGTTCAACTTTACCCTAAAACTTAAAGGTGCTTAAAAGAAAAGTTGTCTGAATTCAGTGCTTTGGCCCACTGTGGAAATCTTCCTTCTACATACCAAATCACAAAAAAAAATCAACCCTATCACCTGGAGAATGGGAGAATGGAAACAACGTAGCTCAAGTGAATTACCACCTCTGGTAACACTGGAAAGGCAGCTTAATAATTTTATTGCTTTAGATAACCAAAACTACCTCAAGACACAATTGGCCAGAAACACAATTAAGAGCAGTAGGCAATACGTAAGAAATTAAACTCTATCAGCTTGATCTTAAAACCCACCAGCATTTATCTGTGAATTGAAATTAGAGTACAACAAGGCACCTAATCAGTATCTGCCTTTACTGTAATCCCACTGCAGTCAAAACCAATTAAATCGAACGCTATTCTTTAAAATATGCGATTAATTATGATTAGACACAAACTGTCTGTGCATTCACTCTGTACACACAAAGCTTGAAATGGAACAGTAAAACCAGGTCCTGGTTGTGTTCAAAGCAGCTTTCAGCTTCTTCACTGAAAGCTTTTTATGAGTCGCACAGATGTTAAGAAAGAATAGTTTCAACACGATGCAGGTTAACACACCCATTACAAGCAGATGATTGCAAATCTTCTGCAAAGATCTTTGTTGTCAGGGCTCCTGGTGAGCATACTAGAGCTTCATTAAGAGCACACTAATGAGCTTCAATTGCCCAGCGGGGCACCTGGAACACCCTTATCCACTCATCCACTCACGTCCCCTAGCCAGGGCTTCTACTTAAGCTCAGGTCTGAGGTTCAACCACCTCTCTGAGTGATAGTACAGGAGTGCCTGTCTCCAGCCTTATTTCCTGCCTGGATCCAAATCACTACTAGTCATGTGAAAGGACTTCAGGAGAGCTATCTTTGTCTGTTGTGTTCAGGTACCCTTAGGGAAATGGGGTCCTGGTAGTTGAGGATATGGCTGGCCCTAGCATCACCTTCAGTTTCTGGCTAGGCCACCTCATGTTCTCTGAGGCGAACCCTCACTTGATGAGATGAGCCTGTAATGGGTTTTCCAAAACTTGTGCTTGTGGATTACCCCATTTTTTTAAAGCATGTTACCTAGAGTTACGTTTTTTCTGTTGATATAGAAAACAATCTGCATTAAAGCTAGAGTGTTATCTTTAGGTTTCTAAAGTATTATTGGACTTAAGCTGTGGAAATATAAAGAAAGGGAAACTCTGTATAGGAACACAGCAAGCTGTTAAAAGGATTTGATACAGATGTGGTTAAAGAATATTGACTTTAAAAAATACAATCATGGAGGACTGGAAATAGCCACCAGATGTCCTCATTTTTATAGAAACATTCAGACTGCTGGTACTACAGGCAGGATCTATACTTCAATAGATAAGTAACTAAGGTAGCAGGCCAGAAACTTCAGGTGGGATGGCAGACTATTTCTTATGAGGAATTTTTAATGATTGCAATAGGACTAGCTATTTTATTCTGAGAGTTAATTTAAACACAGCTGTAAGTGTTTTACCATTGAACTTTCAGAGCCCTTGCTCCTGGGCATGCAAAAGCCTTCCCTGCTTAGGTGAGAGGGACAGTGCCTGATGCTCTCCAGAACCCACACCCTGGCTATATACATTATCAGTGATTTCCCAGGTGTCAGGGCTTTACCCAGGCTTTACCAGGCCTTTGGGTACCCCAGCATATGCTGGCTTCTCCTGCAGGCCTGGCAGATATAAACTCAAAGCTTAACAGACTGATAGAGCTAAGAGGTCAGATATTCATTTAAATATAAAATGTAAAAGGCTTTAAGTAGCTACATCTGAGGGAAGCAATAATTAATGCAATAACTTTTAATCTAGAGCAGTTCATTTATTATTCAGACAAACACAGTGTGATCAATACTACTTAAATTTCAATATGGGGAGATTTCCTTTACAGCAAGGTTCAATGAGAATTCCTGAGTGCTTTCAAACTGTGCCAGCACTTGTTTGGGCTAGATGAAGTATGAAGTTACTGCCTGACTAGTAGGAAGATCCCAAAATAGAAGGAAAATTAATAATCTCTGCCAACATGGCCGATCTTGGCCAAATCTTTTGAAACCTGGTGTCAACCCAGCCATCAAACTGGAGACCTAATAACTACTCTTTCCTAACAGTAGGCTTAGGAATCTCATCTCTGTTATGGCCCATTTTGTATTTTGTCCAGAATTCCAGCTGTGTGGTAAGGAATTCAAGAAGGAAATTAATACAAACTAACAGTTCAGTAGCTATAGGGAAAAGGAACAAGGAGTGTTGTATCCTTTGTATCTCACACCAAGCTAGGGAGAGCCATAACAGTGATCCTCCTGAAAACTATTATTGCTGACAAGCCATGAAGGAAGGGTATTTAATTCAAGTTAACTCATTTTTTGTTGCTTTATGTTACTCCAGACACTTCAGGAACTTTTCACTTGTGTTGCTCACTGGGCAAGTGGCAAGGTGGATACTGCTTAGGTAACAGCACAGAATAGGAAAGAGGAATAGCTCTAATACAAGTCTTTAACTATTCCCATTTTCCTGGACAGAAAAGTGATTAATATTTGATGGGTAAATTCCAATTTCAATTATTATTTGGATGTCTAAATTGGAGAAAAAAGTAATTTTGTCACTCAAGTAGAACATTCAAGCCTGAAATGTGCAAAGTTTATTAAGACAACAGGGGTTATAATTTTGTAGTTCACTACCACTTAGCTACCTATCTTTGTGTATTAACACCTAAAAATAAATTTGGTATTTGACACTGTAAAGGGATTTGTGAAGAAACTTTTAAGTATTGCAGAGAGGTGAAAATCCATAAATCCATTTTAATGGGACATTTACTCATACCTCCTGGTAACATGAAAAATGGTTCATGTCAATAATGCCTACAAACCAAAGTGCAATAGCACGGCTTCCCAGCTGGGGTATAAACCTTGTTCAATGGGTTCCTTAACATGGGTCCCTTTCTGCTTCCCAGATCATGGATTTGAGTGTCATCTGCAACTTCCCTGTTACTGTGTGTGTGAGACAGCACATGTGAAAGCAGTGACTCTTGCTGTTCAGGAAGAGGAAACAGCTGATTCACACTGCAGGGGATCTGCAAATTGATATCAGAGTGAGGTTTTACAGCTTTTTAAATTGACTGCCATATGAGAACAGTTAGATTTAACTCATGGCTAGAAGATGGGTTTGTAGGAAGAGGACAGAAATGGGAAATGGTATTTACAGCTGTCATCAAAGCTTTGATACACTTCAGTGTGAAACTGGAGGCTGAACAGAATTAAGTCTGGCTACAAAACAACACTCAAATCCAATACAATATCTTCAGCAACCTTAGGCTTTCCACATCTATCTTTTTAATGTGCTGCCCTGTAAAGCTGACACAATGGTAGAGTTTCACCTCAAACAGTACTGCGTACCCAACCAGCATGTCTGGTTGGGTTCACTTCTGTGCCCTCTTTGTTTCTCACATTCCCACAAATCCACTAGGCTATAGCTGACGGTGAATATCTCCAGTATTTTGCCTGCTCTAAGTAAGCAGAAAAGTTTAATTTTCTCATATGACATATGAGGGGCTCAGACCTGCTTTTCTGCAGCTGAAGCAAACTGAACATGCACCTCAAGCTACGACAGTGATGTTCAATCACTACCCTCATTCAGCAGCCATAGTACGTGTTCAGCAAGAGCTGCTTATGGGTGGGCAAACTGGTACCCTCAGTCACCTCTGTTGCTTCAGGCAGTGTTAGGTCAACACAGATCACAGCTGTGCCTTCAAGAGGACTATGCAGAACTGGACATGCCCCTCCCTGAGGAGACAGAAAGATGTGAGGAAGCAGAATCCAACCCAAATGAGAGGTTTGTAGTACTCTAAACACAAACAGAAGACTATAGCTAGTGTAAGAAAATGCTCAACACTTCACCTCAAGATCACTACCCTTTTAGCATAGAAACAAGAAAAACAAGCCTTAAAGACCTACAAAAGATAGCTCAGCTATTGCAAAGACACACACTAAGAGCAGGGTTCTTATAAATGGTGTTCCATAGACAGTAGTTATAAATTTATAAGCATTTACTGACATTTCAGTATACATTTCCATTAAGTCTCCTCTCACTAACTGCATGCACCTTTAAAAACAAACTCCTACCTTCAGAATATTTCATATACAGTGAACTAACACAAGGATTATCTAAAACTGTAAAGATATAAACCCCCTAACATAAAAATCTAAGTATGTAGCTGATCTCTAGGTAAAAATTACTTACGATTTTTTAGACACAATGTATAAACAATCCAATTACTGCTTGAACAAGAACTCCAACACCCAACCTAGGACTGCTGAGCTACCACAAATAGGTTTTCCTCATGTTTCACCACCAAACAGATATCCCACAAACCTGCAGGTGCTGTTGACTGAGTCCTCAGGACAGTGGTGGTGGCACTGACAGGACAGCTTCTTTGGCAGAGGGGCGGGTGCCGTGCTCTCACCATCTTCTCTTCTGGTCTCCATGCTCAACTTGGCAGAACTTCGTAAGGGCATGTTGTCTAGAAAATTTGCTATAAATATAAGGCACGGAAAAACAAAAAAGGCATAGTTATAGGCTGGGTTGCAAGACTTGAATAAAGGCATTAAAGTATTTCTACCCATCAAAGCTGAGAAAGTTATTTGAGCTCGATGTTAACTACAGTGGTTTTCTCTGGAAGCCTCTGAAATGGTCACTGGATTTGAGGCTTACTGGGCCTCAGTGGCATTAGAGCAAATTGATGTTCAAGTTCTGCTTCTGCCAAAGAGATATGCTGTGCTTTCCAGACTGTGAAATGCAGCTTTATGCCTTTTGTATTACGCAGGTCAAATCCTTGGTTACACCTTTACACTTTCTTTGTCTCTCTATTTGGCACGTATCTACAGCCACTGAACCCCATAAAAATCAGTGAGATTTACGGTACTCCAGGCAGAGCAGAACATGGACATACAATTCAACAAAGATTTAACAGAAGTTATGCTCTTACAAGCTCAATAGCACTTTTTCTCGCTGAATTGCATAAGCACTACTTGGAAAATTAGGAAAACCTGATAATTATTCATAAATTTATTTTTTTTTTAATAGTAAAAGGCAAGAATGTGGTTTAGAATGAACAATGCTGAAATATATGGAGGTGATTACTTCTAAAAATATCAGAGCACTGAATCTCCATGGAGCTGGTAGATTACAGCTAGACATGTTGGTGATGAGCTGGGAGTTAAGTCCCCTCCCCCAGCTCTACTCATAAATATCAGCTTTCAGTGCTTGTGAATATTTTAAGCCTCAAAGACAAAAATGCGATCAGCATGAAAAGCCTCAACTGGCAGTTTCTCACTTTCCTTTTGCTTCTCTGTAAGAAATCTTACTAAAGGGTCATTTACAAACAGCTGTCTCCAACAGAGTAGCTGAAGAGCAGGCTTGAAAGTCTTGATTTACTGTTAGGTCTCTAGAAACAATCGGCATTATTATTTTGATTGGCTCCTGACCTGCTGCTTTGACCTTAATTAAAATCTTCCCCAAAGCTCCATCATCAGGACTAATATACTGTGGAGCTGGCAGAAAACTTAGGACACAAACAGGCTGGCATTCAAATTTACACTTTCCAAGAGTCTGAAGAGGTCATGTAGCATATTATTTTGCTTTCAGCTAATGCCCAGGGCCAAAACTAGTGTAAAATCTTTGCAGTTTAGTCTTGAAAACAATCAAATAAAATTAAAAGACATAGGAATAACATTTTCAATCAGATCCTTTCCCATCTTCTAAAAAGTTCTCATTCCATTCTCTGGATCCCTTCATGACTTAAATTCCTGACTGCTAGCTAAAAAGATGGGCAGATCTTTTGCCTCTGAAATTTTGATTTCTCACCCATCAGATGACCATGGAACATGCAAGAACACTTCTCCCACTCGGAGGTTAAGTTTCAACAAGGTTGTCTGACTTCAGAGCAGAAAGATTTTCCAGCAGTCCCTTCCCCAGAATGTAACATGTAGGTAGAAACCCACAAGAGCTTGCCAATTTGGCAACAAGTGCCTTCTGATTTCAGGTGTGAAATGCACAGTATGGGATGGTGAACAGCCAACTCATTTTGCATTTGCTGCTGTGCTGTAACAAGCTCATGTTGGTCATGCAGCCCTGGCTCTATCTAGGGATTAGAAGCTCACTTCATTCTGAAAGGTCTCCTAAGGAGCTATGCGCAAGTGCAATGAAAGCAAGGTATTTTAGGCTATTTAAATTTGGCTGCTTCTCTGCAGTAGCCTATTCTGTCAGTCTGCTTATGGCTAGCCTCCCGTCCCTGACGAACTCAGCACAGCTTGGGACAACTGAAGAAAAACAGTAGCATCAGAAATAAGGTTATTGTAGTCTGCTGAGAAACTTCCTGACTGCATCAGGGAATTAATCAAAGCTGAATGTCTGAAGATCACCACCAGACTGGTATACCTTCATCAAATTTAGTTGATTTTTCTCAGCTTCTCTCTAGTTTCCACTAAAATACACCAGCATTTTACAAAGCACCTTCCACCACAAGGGCAGGCAGCCAGGCAGCCACCACAGCTTTCATGTCTCTTTGGAGTACTGCTCCTGAGAGATATTTTCCTCTGTAGGACTGGGACCACTCACAATTGTCATGTGACAGCCGCTCTTACAAATCTTTACAGAATGGGAATGGGAAATGTGTGCTTAGAAGCAGCATGCTACTGTTGTTTTTTCCAAATGGGTTACTGAGCGTCTCTCTCCATGCTTTGTTTCACCTGAGCTCCTTTACAGAAAGGCACACCTACAGAGATCCTGAAGCCAGGAGAAAGAAAACGGGGAAAATAAAGCGCAGTAAAAGGTTAGCGTTATCCTGGATGACCATGAGAATGACTAATGTCTAGTGTAAGCCCTTACTAATATGCCAACAAATAATCCTTCTTAGATAAATTCTTCCACTTTGCTTCACATCATCCTAGACTTCATGGTAATTCATGAGCACTAAGCTTTTGCTTTGAAATACTTTCTCATGTGGCAAACCCTTCATTGTTTTCTGGTTTGTCTGGCTAACATTTTTTTTTTAAACAATGGAGAAGTGATCACAGATCCTCACTCCACATACACAGTGAAGTAACTATTGGGATTAACTGCATCTTGGCTTTAAATGATGCTGTTTAAAGGTGGTTTGACAGATCTATGAACAGTGGTACCTCACACCCGAAAGTAAGATCACCTATTTAAGCTTTGCATTGACTCATGATGTAGGTGCAAAAAAAAGAAAAAAAAATTGATCTAAAGATCCCATCTCTTAGTGTACATTCAGTCCTCAAGCCCTCTGCCATGACTGCCAATAAATGCTCCAGCCCCTCCCAACTGCAGCCATAGTTATGCGATTTGGACAGGATTTCTCCACTAGATTCTGGATAAAGCCCAATAACTCATTTCACACTGGCCCACAGCCATCAGATGGTAATAACTTTTGGGCACTGGTCTGATTCAACAAGTCTGGTAATGTAGGAGGTGAAAAGCTCTGTATTTTGTAGTCTAAATCTTGAACCATCCTGTTTCCAGAGGATGAGTAATTAGCAGTAGTTATCTTAACAGATTTATTTCTGTACCACTGCTGTGTGAGTTATGTGTTGCCTATGCAGTAGAGAAGCTGATCTCCCATGACCTTCCATGGGTTTGTAGGAATACAAGTCAGCATCTGTTTTGGGAAGAAGCAAGACTAAGGGCCACAAACAAGTCTGTTAAAAACCAAACAGAAAAACCCCAAACACACAAAAACTTTCCCACTTCATGGAATGTCTGTTTCAACTGTTGCTGATGCCTTGGACCTGAAACTTAATTACTTTCATATACAAGTGTTTGAACAGTAATTAAAAACAAAACAAAAACTACAACCCACCTAAACCTTAAAAGACAATCAGTCTACTTGATAAAACTGACAGATGGAAATTTTAAACCAGAAGGTTACTTTATCTATACCCTCCACTAGCCTATACAGTTACTGTGCTTTAATCGTATTTTTATTAACATATGAAACTATATCATGCAACAGTTTGCTGGAGTTTCCTATGCTATATTATGAACTACAGCCTGGTGACTTCTCATCAGGCCAGGGTTAGACAATCAACATGATTGTTTTAAGAGAAAGGGAAATAACTAACTGCTAACTCACTGTGTCATCAGATAAAAGAATTTCCATGGGATATTTTTTGGCAAATAGTCAGCAATGAAAACACAGTACAGTTAAATAAGTTGAAATAAATTACACCTCTTAACTCAGCCTGATCTACTGTGTAAAATAGTCAAGAGGTGACAGTAAAACACTTTTTATTGGTGACAATCATGTAACAGGGAAGGAAAAATACACCATGACAGTTTTCCTTTGCTGGATATTCAAGGCTACCATAAAACTCAAGGAAAGGTCAGATGCTGAGACCTGCACATTTCTGATCTAAAACTACAGTAAACAAAATCTCACATAAAAACACCAAAAAAAGAGAAAACAACGTGCTTTCCTTTTCAGTGTGTGACTGCATTGTTCTAGTAGCCCTATCTGAGGTTGATATGAAACAGTGAAAAGATCTGTACCCTGATCCACATCCACTCTAATAAATTGGCATACTAAAAAAAAAGACCAACAAAACAAAGTAGCATTGTTAGTCTTACCATGTATGATTTGCTTCATTTCCCAGCTGTGCTAGATTTCTTGTATACCATAGTAAGTAGAAGCTACGAACTGCTCCTTCTCATCTGTATACTTAAAAATTTGGGCTGGTTTTGCTTCTATTCATGATTCAAAGTAATGAGGTTTACAATCTGATGCAATATTAGACAATCTATCAAAGTGGTCTTCTTAAAAACTGTTTCTGTCTATATTCATGGAATTGCCACCGAGTGCCAATATAGACAGACATATACGGCACTACTTTAAATAATGTATTTAATTTCTAGAAATTTCTTTTGCATTTTGTTTGAAAATTATAAGAACCCTTCTCTAAAAAGTCTGTTTAAACCATCTTAAAAACATGATGTTATTAGCTAAATTAGTCAAGTTCAGCATGGAATGTAACAAGCCGTGACAAAGCCACTGAGACAAGACCCTTCAAATTAATACTCATACCATACTACTTGCAACTTAAAACCGCAAAAGCTTCTTTGGTGTCATGGCCCATGGAAAATCCACATGTAACTTGCTGTCCACCATTACATCACAGTTTGATTGAGTGTTACTTTCTCCTGGTTTCCTCTCATTTCTCCTATCCACAGTTAATCGTTGACTTATTTTTAATTTGGAAGAAAACAAGAAATGGTTGGTGCATTTTTCATAGAGTGAGCAAGTGTACCAACAGAACAGAAAAAAAGGCACAAGACTTCTTTAAGTTTTCTGGAGGAAACTACATGCAAAATGTTTAGCCTGCCAGGTTGGACTCCATAAGGTCTATCCCCACCCACTGTAATTCCCCATTAATGAAGAATTTCCCCAACTCTGTCAAATCTCTTAATTCTATCTTCTACAGTCATTTTGTTCCATCTATAAATGTTCCATTACAAAGA